CTCTCTCTCTCTCTCTCTCTCTCTCTCAATTCTCTGGCAATTCGTTCTGATGGGACACGAAGCCAAGGTGGCTTGACCCCCCTTTCTGCTTGTGGTTTCCTCCCTCGTCCCACCCCGCCACCCCCCGGCCCCGGCCCACCGCTCACCTTCCTCCGGCCCGAAGCCACTGTTGCTGCTGTGAAGGGACTCGCAATCCGAGCTCTCCAGGCTCGCGCAGCGTCCGAGCCCTTCCTCTCGGGTCGCCGAGGCCCTGGCCGAGCGCGGCGGCCGATCGGCGGTGGGAGTCCGAGACAGGGAGGAGGACGACGACGAGAAGCGGTCCCAAAGGCTAGGCATGGTGAGCACGGTCTTCAGGACGTCTGTCGAGTTCAGGATGAGGGAACACAGGAGTCGCTGAAAGACAAGGACACACACCCGGGAGTCAGTTCCGCGGGTCCAAAGTGGCAGCGTCCGAGGCCGCCCGCGCAGCGTTCGCTGCGTAGAACGGATACTCACCAGCGAGAGCGGTCAGTGAGAGCTTCTGGACCGAGAACGGCTGCCACTAGGTGAGGTGCGCGAAGCAGTGCCAACCCCCGTGCGCTGCCCAGACTAGCCCCTGGACCCGCCCGCTCCGCCCCCTCCCACTGCTCCGTGCCCTAGCAGCAGGCCGAGAGGCTTATAAGCACTAGTGCGGCGAGGCCACACCCCTCTGCTCCGCAACCCAATCCAGCCCCGGGAGTGTGGCCCTGCTAAACCAATAGGCACCGGGCGCACGTTCGCAACGTTCTCTCCTGCCCGGTGACAGGGGCCTGGCCCCGCCCCCGCAGAGCGCCTGAGCTCTCCAGGGCTAGCCGTGGCCACGCCCCCCTTCTGGATGGGGTTCGCGGCGGCTGCAGCTGCCCAAGTCCCCTAGGGCGCTCGCGGCAGGGGAGGATCAAGGAAAAGACTTGTTTATTATAGGGTCGCGTTGATGGGGGAGGGGGCAGCCTGGGACCTCGGGAGTAGAGAGGCGGCGAAGTATTGGGGGCAGGCGGGCAAGGGAAACAGTTGTCCCCGGAGCCAACTGCGAACACATATGGTGCCCGAGTGGATGCCCGTGGGACCGCGGCACGGGGAACGGACGTTATCCAGGCTGACCCTCGAGCCAGTACGCCCAGCTCGCCCACCTCCTGGAGGGTCGGAATTTGAGGGGGTGTGCCGGGCCGGGCCAGACTGGACAGCTCTGAGCTCGAGGGAAAGGGCCCTCGGACCCACTGCCCTTAACACCTAACCGAGTTAAGTCGAGGGTCTTTGCCTCCTTGGAGCCTGGTCCCCAAACTTTGCACATTCTCACTCTCTAACTGCTTCAAAGGAAACGGGGTTGGAGAAGGTGGTTGGCAGAAGCCTTGCGAGGAGGGGGCAGATGGGGGCAATTCCCTCCCCCTTCCCCCAGGCACTCGTCCATGGGGTCGCCCGGTGAAGCCAGCGACGGTACCGATGGGTGGGGGCTCAAAATTAAGAGATTGTCCCAGGATGCCCTTTACTCGCTACACCTCTGGCTGTTGATCAAGCCTGGGTTCATAGCACCTAGTCCTGGGACGGAGAACTGGACCTCAAACCACACGGTCCCGGCACCCCAGGGCCAGGCCACAAAGACTAGCGGCTGCTGCGCGGTCCCTTCCCAGCAGTTTCCAGCCGGGCGTCCTTCGGGTCCTAGCGCCCTGCGGGTCTCGTTGCTTTTGTGCAAAAGACCTGGAAAGTTGCATCAGGGCCAAGGAACTGGATTTCCAGAGAGAGTGCAATGGCCATCCCTTGTTTCGTCATTCAGACCGGGCTGCAGGCAACCTGACCTGGCCCCCGGCAAGGGCGTGGGTAATGGTTGCTGAGAGCGTGGGAGGAGACTCGGATGTACTATTTCCTCAAAGGTTTACTAGTCTATTACATGGGACACTGATGGAAGAGGGAGCCACACTTTCATCAGCCGGCCCACCTGAGCAGACAGGGGCCTAACCAGAGCTGACAGGAGAGCCCGGCCTCCCTCAGCCAACTTTGCTTGTGAGGGACATATTGTCTATTGTCAGAGAAGCCTGGTCATCTTCATCCCTCCTTTAAAAAAAAAAAAAAAAGGCTGAGCCTAGGGTATGACAAGGACACTTAGAACCTTAGAACTGGGAAGGACACAATCCAAACTGCACCCCACCTGTTTTACAAACGGGAGAACCATCTCTGGGCACCAATTTATAGATGAAAAAATCAGTCTGATTAGGAAACACTTCAAAAACAGCACAGACTAGTCTCTGAGGCTGCGGGTGACCTCCAACGTCCAGCCACTTACAAGAAGCCTTAGACGCAGGGTATGGTGAAGTTGCCCTATACTGAGGTTGGAGGCAGAGTTAGGAGTGTCTTGTCCATGTGTGTTGGCACAGAGAAGATCCGAGAACTAACCCGTGGGGGCTCCCTCCTCCCTCCATGCTGAGGGGACCCTGAGCCAGCAGTGAGATAGACTAGGGGCTCTTTTGTCACACTCTTTCTGTTCCCGCTCTCCTTTTCTTTATTTTTTTAACAGGAAAAAAAAGTATTTGAGAAAAAAAGCAAACCTGGATCTAAGAACAATGGAAATTTATCTTATAAATGGATACTGACAGGCAAAGGAATCCAGAGGCAGTTTAGAAAGTCATTCATTCGTTGGACAAATTCCATCCTGCCTTGCAGCACTGCGCTGAGGATCCTCCACCACTTTCTCTTAGTAAGAAGGGTTTTCCAAATGGGAAAGGCTGAAATAAAGGACATTGGGTCATTTTGTTTCTTTCAAATGTAAGTCCATTAGGATTGTTGTCTATGTTTTCTAACTTTTTTTTTTATTGCAAGTGATAGAAAAAGAACCAGAGTTCTAGCCCTGGTGATGTTTATTATAGGAGGGGGTTGGCTACAACCCCACCCACCAACCTGCTGCCCTTGTATGGATCCTGAGTGGCACCTCTCCTGACATCCCCCCACCCCATGGAGAGTTGGGTGCGGCCTCTATCACTAAGGTCCACTAGAAGAACCTTTGAGCCTGGAGACAGGGTTTCTAGTAACTCCTATGGGTGGTCAGGGTAGGGCTCTTCAGGGGCAACAAGGAGGTCCGTTTTCACCTGTGAGGTGGCAGGTAGACTCCAGGCTCTGTAAAGGGTCAAGGGCTGGGGAGATTGTGTGGCTGCACACAGCACTCACTGCAGAGAAGCAGCCTTTATTGGGCTCAGCCTACAGGTTTGTGGTGGGGGTGGCTCCCTCCAGGCTTCTAAGCCAGCGCTGGAATCTATGGTCCTCTCCTTTCACCCCTGGTCCCCCCAGGCTCAGGCGGGACACGCCCCTGCCAGCAGATTGAGAGGACTTGCCTGGACATGTCCCTATCAGCTGCCTTGAAGACCTAGCTCTAATATCCTTTCTGCCAAGAAGCTTCCACAGCCTCCCCACCCCCAGACGGCCATCCCTCCCTTTGAGCCCTTGCTATAATATACACCTTGTGCATATCTCTGTTATTTATCATGTTTCCACACTGGACTGGACCTGCAGTAGCCAGCAAATGTTCTTTGAGCCGGTGGATACGTGGATGGTTGGAGGCAGCAAGGAAGTGGCTTTGCCTGGAATTGCACAGACTTGCACCTGGAGTCCCAGGCCTTTGGCAAGGCCTTCAGCGGTAGTCCCTACGTCACCTTTTTCCCCCTCAAAACTCTTTTATTGGGAGTTAATACAGATCTCATATCATTCCATAGTTAAATCATATCAAGCAATATGCAAAATTGCTAGCACAATCAGTTTCAAAACATTGTTTTGATATCAGCTCCCTTAACCCCTACCCGCCCCATGAAGGCCCCAGAAGTCCTGGTTCTATTTGCTGTCCCTACAGGTTAGGTTCATCAATCCTGGATTTCGTATGCTGAAAAACAGGAAAAACATAACAAATCCAAGAGGGTGCCCTCCAAGGACATAACACATCGGAGATAAACCCCAATCTAAACAAACAAAACCTAGAAATACAGAAAACCAAAGCCAGCTCAGACCTAATATCAGTGGGGGATCAAGTGACAAGGGTTTAACTGTTCAAGTGAGGTTTGTCCTTTTGATCGTCCATGTCCTCTCTCCGACGCACTGTCCAGCAGCCACTTCCCTCCATTATGGAGAGAGGGGACTCCCAGCAGGCTTATTTCCTATGCAGTTCGATGTCACCTTTCTGACCAAGAGCTCCTCAACGCTGGTGTCCCAAGAGAGGCTGCCCCGTGGCTTTCCTTTTAAACATGACTACTTAAGTGCTTTAAGTTTATCATGCACAAACCCATTTTAGTTTATGGCAAGGTAGTCATGCAAGGCTACCAGGTAGGACCATAAAACGTCCATTTAAGGAGGACCAGAGAATCTGCAGGAACAATTACAGTGTTATTTCAAACGTCAGACTTCAGGGTTAGCCTTTTACAGGTGGTGTCAGGAGTAAGACTTGACCACATTTCCAAGGCCCTGGAGGTCCCCTGCTGTGCGCAGACCCACAATCCTAGTCTTTGCAGGTCTTCTCTCGGGAGGTTATCAGAGCCTACCAAGAGATCTCCGAATGCCCAGAGGCCCGGTGCTTCTGCAGTTTCCCAGCCTTGGTTTCACACCGGAAGGCCTCCGTGACATCCTATTTGGTGCGTTCCATCTCTTCTTCAAGGTCAGACACCCAGTGTTGCTACTTACAGAGTTGTTTAGGATTGACCTAACATCTCGAGGCCACCTTAGGGAGATGTCACCTGATGTTGTTTCTTTTGGTCACATCGTGGGAGTGACACGCTAACTCTGGGGGTTGTTAAGACATCCACAGGCTTCACATCCCTCTAATATGAAATCCAGGCGGTCTGCTCTTAAGTGACATGGTAGGTGACTCTTGCATCTTTGGCTTATGAGCATGTATGGATGCAAACACGGCAATGCCTTATACACATAACAGACACACACGATACTGCCTTGTACCGAAGTGGCTTGAGAACATTACAGAAATCACATAATATGCAAAACAGGGGCTTCTTCCCTCCAGATCTGCGAGCAGCTCCAAGAAGCCGGGACAGACAGGGACTGTGCAGAATGTGCATCCGTCGTAGGAAGTCTTCTAGGCACCCAGCAGTTTCTTGACAAGTGGCTCAAAATACTCCGTGCTTATTTATTTTAAATTAAGGTGAAATTCATATACCGCAAAATGCACTGTTTGAAAGTGACTACGCCAATGGCATCTGGCCCCCTCATGTTGTGCCACCACCACCAACACATCACCCTCCAGCAGTCTCTGCCCTCAAGAGCTTTTCAGTTATTGTTTCTAATCAGTGTCTTGTTGGCGGGGTCGGGAGCTGGGCTGCCTCTTTGCACAACTGCAGAGGGCGCCAGTGCCACTAACTAGGCTCTATGAGTTTACTCGAGTCTTCTTAGGAGTGGGGTTTAGGGAGCACAGATCACATAGACCACGGAGTGGGCGAGTGTCAAGCGCTAGATGACTCAGGTTCCAGGTCCCAGTCTCGGGGTCAGGTTACCATGGGAGCCTCTCTAAGGGCAGCACTTCAGTCAATAAGCATCCACTCCAGGCCACCTTTCCCTCCCTGTTCAGACATTTACTGTCTTATGCA